AATTTTGGGTCCCCCCCCCCCCCCCCCCCCCCATGGATTTTATCTCTATAGGTTGAACTCGATGGACATGTGTCTTTTTTTAACCTGACTATGTAGTTAACCAGGGAGCTCACCCTGCATGATGGCTTTGTGGAAGGGGTAGAAGTACAATATTCGGCTGGGTAGTTTCTGCAGGCACTTCAAGTTTTTCTATAGTAATATCAAAAAGATAAGGGGCGGGGGGAGGGGGTATTTATCAAAACTGGAGCAGAAGAAATCTGGAGCGGCTGTGCATGGCAACCAATCAGCTTCTCGCCCTCATTTTGTTCAGTTAAGATATGAAAATGAAAGAGAGATGCTGATTGGTTCTCATGGACAACTGCTTCTGATTTTGTCTGCTCCAGTTTTGATCAATTCCCCTCGGGTTGTGTATGAGTATGGGGGAGGCACTGGGATTCTCTGTATTGGGTTGAAGCTGATCATGTTCTTCTCTATGCAGGGACGGCGGTTAAAGGAACAGCAGGACCTGGCGGCTGCCGTCATTCAGCGCTGCTATCGGAAGTACAAACAGGTAACCGCTTCAGATTGTTTCGTTCTTGTAGGCAAGAGACTTGTTGTGCGGCCTTCTGAGCAGCAGAGGGACGTGCCTGTGACCCTGTATCTGGGCGACAACCCTTGATATACACTGAGTGGCCGGATTATTATATACACCGAGTGGCCGGATTATTATATACACCGAGTGGCCGGATTATTATATACACCGAGTGGCCGGATTATTATTGACTCTATAGGTGGGAGATGACTGTAGATCTGACTCTATAGGTGGGAGATGACTGTAGATCGGACTCTATAGGTGGGAGATGACTGTAGATCGGACTCTATAGGTGGGAGATGACTGTAGATCGGACTCTATAGGTGGGAGATGACTGTAGATCTGACTCTATAGGTGGGAGATGACTGTAGATCTGACTCTATAGGTGGGAGATGACTGTAGATCTGACTCTATAGGTGGGAGATGACTGTAGATCTGGCCTTGATATCTGGGGAACACTGAGATTTTACTATGATGTAAGTAGGAAATTGTGATTCCTGTGGTGTCCGGAGAAGACTGATATGTTGCTGGGACTAGACATATTTGTGGTGTTGGAGGAGACTTGAGATTTGCCTGTGTGATGTACGGAGGTTCTTTCTTTATCTGGAGAAGGCTGATTTGATTTGTGGCACAGATGAGGTTTTCCCCCGATGTTGAGACGAGACATAGAACTATGGTATTGGGAATCCAGAGTAGATCCTTCTATGATATCTGAATGTGGAAGGTGATGGTGGACCTTTTGTGTTGCTCCATCTTGAGTTTTGCTTGTTGCCCATCGTCTAATCCCACCTTTCTCCTTTTACAAGCTGACATGGATTGCTCTGAAGGTAAACTGTCTCTCACATGTGCTCATCCCACCTTGCATTCAACAGATGTGTCCTCCCATTATCACCTAGAGCCTTGGTTCTCAACTGGTGGGTCGTGACCCAAAAGTGGGTCGCAACCCCGTGTTCAGTGGGTCACCGCATGCCTTCCACGTTTCTAGGTCAGAGGTTCCTCAGCCTCCCCCTAGCGCAGCACCGTCAGTTCTCACACCGAGCAGCCATTCACAATATGCTGCCCGGCGCCGAGTGTCAGCTTGAGGTGGGGTGGGGTGGGCTGGGGGTATGGCCGCCAGTGAGCTCCATCTATATGTGCGTTGCTTACAGCTCCCTCACATGCCCTGCAGAGGCGCCTGGACCGGAGTGACGTCACATTCTGGCTCCCGGCACCCCTACAGGGCACGCAACGGAGCTGTACAATATTATGTCGATTAGTTGTTGCAGCCCTACAATGCACATATAGATGGAGCTCCGTCACAGCACAGCAGCCCACACTGGACCCCGGGCTGAGGATCCGTTCCAGTTCTTGTAAGATGGGGAGACCGGGTGGATCATGTGTGTGTGTGAGGATGTGTCTGTGGTTGTGTGTGCCTGGCAGTGTTTTTGAGGGCCCGTTCACATTAGAACAGTGCGTTAATCGCACAGTCCCGTGTCTTTAACGCACCTTACCACGCAATCGCACCTACTGCGCAGTCTGGTGCAGGAGGTGCGTTCCAGTGCGGTGCCACTTGGGTCAAGACTTAATGACCGAGGACAAATGTGGGTCCTGAGGTTACACAGGTTGAGAACCGCTGACCTAGACGAACCCTCGTTGCTTTGTCCGAGAAACATTTTTGCTTTCATAATCATGAACAGTATTATATTTATTATATTATATTCCAAGGCGACGTACCGGGATACTGCTGGAGGTGTCTAAAAACAGAAGCACCACACCAATGGTCACCAACGAGTCCAAACCTATTTATTTCAGGGAACCCAAGACAATAATACAATATGTTTCGGGGGTTATAAAGCACCCCGTTCATCGGGGCTCCAAATGATTTTTAGGATGAAATGGATTCATGAACCCTGGGGCAAATATCTCCTTATTAATATCCAGGCCTCAGCATCTGGCTGTCTGAATTTCTACGATTAACCTCCTTGGCGGTATTTCCGAGTGTGGCTCGGGGTTCATTTTCTGTACCGTAAGCGGTGACCCCCGAGCCACACTCGGGAATACAGTGAAGCGTCTCTTACCTTGTTCCTCGAGCCGCGCTGTGTCCTCCGGCCGATGCCGGCATCCGGGTTCGGTCCCTTGAGATCCAAAAGGAAAAGAAGAAATCATACCGCCAGGGAGGTTAAATCAATATTTTTGGCCTCTCAAGCCATTGATGTGGTGGTGCAGTTTTCCTACACCCCCTACATTTTACCTGAGGTGCCTTTAGGGCCCCTATGGTGCTCGAGAGCCGCCTAGTCAGAGCCATTATACTCTACAACATAAGACTTCGCTCTGCACATTGAAACTTGACGCAGCGCCTACACACAGTCTTCCGTGACGCTCACTGCCGGCAACCTACGAGACCAATTATCCACTTTTGTGGCCCATTCAGATGTCTACGGCCTTATTAGAGTCGTTCTTTAAATGTCCTCCATGACTGCGCTGTCACATGGTGGCCTTAAAGGGGTCCTTTTAATTAGGGATGCACCAATACCGGTTTTTCGGTATCGAGTACGAGTACCGATATTTTGCTGTTGGTACTTGCCGATACCGATGCTTATGCTGTCAAGGAGCGAGATTCCCGGCCAATCAGGAAGCCGGGCAGCGGGTAATGTCGGCTGTTTGGTCAGCTCAATGCTAATTGGCTGGGAAGCCGGCGTAGCAGGCAATCAGCATGGAGGCAGTTGTTCGGCTGGCTCCATGCTGATTGGCCGGGAAGCAGGCTTCCTGCTAAATCAGGAAACGGGTCATTACTCGTCGCCCAGTTTCCTGATTGCCGGGAATAAGGATGGGCTCGGGCGTGTTCGCAGCTCCACGTGCCGAGCCCGCCAGGAAGCTGACAGCGCCGCAGCGCCAATGACAGGTACCGAGACATTTTCCCGGTCCGCAGCTGCAGAGATCAGGAAATGTCTCAGTGCCTGTGATTGGCGCTGTCAGCTTCCTGGCGGGCTCGGCACGTGGAGCTGCGAACACGCCCGAGCCCATCC